ATTGAAGTCCCATTTTCTTGTCTTTTTCAATCAATATTTAAGTCCAATGTATGAGAAAATGTCAAAAAGGTCCTCAACTGTCAAAAATACCAAAAGCTCTAACTTTGTTTTCGATAAAATAATTAGCTAACTTATATAATTTCATTATAATCTCTAAATTTTGTTGATTTTTTTTATTTTAATCGCTAATTTTTGTTAATTTTGCTAAATAAATCACATCGATAAATTGATTAACGAAGATAAATTTACAATGAGATTATATGTTAAACTACACAAAACGGCGTCATTTTATTAAAATAATATTCGAACCCCTTGGTCTTTCGTACAATCGATATATGCATTACCAACCATCCTAAGTTGATTTCTTTTGATACCACAAACGTACATATTTATATTCTTTAATATAAATGACCAAAGTAAAAAGTAGAGCCAAATCACCACCATCTAATGAGGTTACCTTCACATTATGTCTGCTTTACATTCTACTTAAAAACTAGATTTTAATCCGCGGGACGATTTATTTACTAAAAGTAATGATTTTTTAAAATTTAGTGATTATGTATTATATATAAAAATTTACAAATAGTATTATTTTATAAGGCATTTATATTTTTCTAGTTCACAATTATTATTAAGTAGCGGTATACAACGAAATTATTTTTGTTTTATACAATCTTATTTAAATCAGGCTGATTCGATATGTCTAATAATCGTGGTGTTAAAAATAATAAAATGAAGATTTAACCCGTATTAAAGCGGCGAATTAATGATATAAATTTTTATTAATGTTAATTCAAACCCGACCCGCCATATAACCCTTCTAGCAATATAATCCGTCATGTGCTATTTTTTTAATATGTTCATAATATTATAAACTTTATATTAGTTTTAATCCGTCGCCATTTATAGCGACCAAATTGTGACTAATTTACGACTACTTTATGACTTACTGTAAGTAGTCGTTAATTTGTCGCTAAATAGCGACCAAAACCAATAGCCAGGCATGTAGTCGTCAAAAAGCGACATGCGACGACTATTTTGTGGACGGGAGTGGGTTGTCGCCAAAATAGTGACTACAGTTCCGACCAAAGTTAATAGTCGCTAGTTTGGTGACTAATTTGCGACTCATTCGGCGGGTCGTAAGCTAGTCGCAAATTCGTCGTTGTTTATAGTTAGAAAACATGTGTTTTTCGTTTTGGGGTAGGTGTACCGGTTTTTGGCGACTACGGTGTTTAGTCGCTAATTAGTCACCGTCAAAATGTCTATATAAAGAAAATTCAACAACTCTCTTCATTCATGTCAAACACAAAACGTTTGGAAAAAAAAGAATCAAAGAAAAAAAGAAAATATTAGTTTTTATTATTCTTATAATGGTGGAAAATTACAATTATGGCGGTTATGGCTGTTTTAATCAGGAGTTGATGTACAAGAGGTTCTCGATGAAGTGACGGGAAATTTTACGGCAGAATTCGAAGCGGGTTGAAGAATTCATGACGTCTGCTAATAGCCAGCCTATAGTACAGAGTAATCGAGGTAAATTTCATTGTCCTTGTAGTGTGTGCAAGAACGAAAAACATATCGTCTCTGGTAGAAGAGTTATTTGTCATTTGTTTAGTCAATGATTTATGCCAGATTACTGTATATGTTTGGTATAAGCATGGAGAAGAAATCAATATGGATATATGAACGAGTTATGATGATAGGACGTATCTAAGTGAGAATCATGAAGACGTGGGTAATGTTGTAGAAGATCCATGTATGGATATGGTGAACGATGCATTTAACGTGGGGTTTGATTATAACTATCATCACGATGGTAATTATCAGAATGTGGAAGAACCGGTACGTAATCATTCGAAGAAATTCTACGACTTGTTAGAAGGTGCAAAAAAATCCATTATACGATGGTTGTCGTGAAGGTCAGTCTTAGTTATCCTTAGCTGCTCGAATCCACACACTTTATTTTGTATGACTCAAGCATCTAATGATAACTGCGACTGACCTTCACGACAACCATTGTATAATGGATTTTTTACACCTTCTAACAAGTTTATTTCTTTGAATGATTACGTACCGGTTCTTCCATATTCTGATAACTACCATCCTAATGATAGTTATAATCAAATCCCACGTTAAACGCATCGTTCACCATTTCCACATGCATGTGGATCTTCTACAACATTACCCACGTCTTCATGATTCTCACTTAGATACGTCCTATCAACATAACTCGTTCCTATATCCATATTGATTTCTTCTCCATGCTTATACCAAACATAATAATCTGGCATAAATCCTTGACTAAACAAATGACTCATAACTCTTCTACCGGAGACGAAATGTTTTTTGTTCTTGCACACACTACAAGGACAATGAAAATTTACCCCGATTACTCTGTTCTATAAGTTGGCTATTAGCAAACGTCATGAATTCTTCAACCCCTGCTTTGAATTCTGCCGTAAAATTTCCTGTCACTTAATCGAGAACCTCTTGTACATCCACTTCCGAGAAAAACCGCCATTACCGCCATAATTGTAATTTTCCGCTATTCTAAGAATAATAAAAACTAAATTTTTCATATTTTCTCTGATTTTTGTTTTCCAAATGATTTTTATTTGGCATGAATGAAGAGAGTTGTTGAATTTTCTTTATATAGACATTTTGACAGTGACTAATTAGCGACTAAATACCGTAGTCGCCAAAAACCGGTACGCCAACCCCAAAACGAAAAACACGTGTTTTCTAACTTTAAAATACGACTAATTTGTGACTAGCTTACGACCCGCCAAATGAGTCACAAATTAGTCGCCAAAATAGCGACTATTAAATTTGGTCGGAACTGTAGTCGCTAATTTGGCGACAACCCACTCCCGTCCACAAAATAGTCGTCGCATAGTCGTTTTTGACGACTACACCTGACTATTGGTTTTGGTCGCTATTTAGTGACACATTAACGACTAAGAGTCGTAAGATAGTCGTAAATTAGTCGCAATTTGGTCGACTATATACATAGTCACCGAATATAGTCCCAGCGATGGTCATAACTAGCTGTGTTTGATTTCTTGTGTCAACCAATTTTTTTATTTGTTTCTTCAACAAAACAAAAATTATTGTACATATCTACAGATGTACAAATAAATTACGGAAATATTTCAACAAAAAGGTTTATTTACCACATGTTTATTTTTAAATTATTAAATGTACAAAAACAAATTGTGATATAAATCGGCCTTTTTAAAAATAAAAATAAATTTTGTGGCCTCTAAAACTCAGGCCTGGCTGTGACTAGTATAATGGCGTTGTAGAGATTAGAGAATTTTTAGAAGAATACCTTATACCTCCTATTCGTCATCCCTCGAATCATATGACAATGTTATTGCTGCATGAACCCGAAAGTTCTCAACCTTACTTTTTTTACACTTTCAACATTATACCACGGGACAATTTTTGGTTTTACATAATATTTTCTAAATGAGACTGATTTAATATGTCTAATATTGGTGGTAGTAAAAAAAAAAATTAAGGATTTAATCCATATTGAAGCGGCAGATTAATGATATTTTAATCTTTTTATTATTGTTGATTCAAAAACCCGTCCCGCCAAACCCGTCCCGCCAAAAAAATCATTTATTTTATTAATGTTGATCTTATTTATGATATGATTTTGAATCATTGTCTAAATATTTTAAGGGAGACTCACAAAAATGCCCCTTTTTCAATACCCCTTTTCAAAAATGTCCCCTTTGGCTGTCTATTTTTAAAAATACCCCTTTTTATGTACAAAATGACTAAATTATCCTTCTTTTAATAAAAGATATCACAAATATATAAGGAAATATAACAAAATTAGGTCCACAAAATACAAAATATTTTTTGGTGGGAAAAGTGATCTCGCAATTTTTCCCGCCAAAACACTTGTAAAAACTTGTAAAACCTTTAAAATACCTTGTAAAATTTTCCCGTAAAATTTTTTCCCGCCAAAAAAATTGCGGAATCATTTTTCCCGCAAAAATTTACAGGGTATTTTAAAGGTTTTTTACAGGGTATTTATAAGGTTTTACAATGTATTTTAAAAGGTTTTACAACGTATTTATAAGGTATTTATAAGATATTATAAGATTTTACAAGCTATTTTATAAGGTTTTACAAGTTATAAGGTTTTACAAGTTTTTTATAAGGTTTTACAAGTTATAAATACCTTATAAAGCCTTATAAGTACTTTGTAAAACCTTACAAATCACTTGTAAATACTCTGTAAAACCTTTAAAATACCTTGTAAATTTTTCCCGCCAAAAAAATTGCGGAATCACTTTTCCCGCAAAAAAAAATTTTTGGCGGGAAAAAATTTTACGGGCAAATTTTACAAGGTATTTTAAAGGTTTTTACAAGTGTTTTGGCGGGAAAATTGCGGGATCACTTTTCCCGCCAAAAAATATTTTGTATTTTGTGGACCTAATTTTGTTTCAAATAAGGGTAAAATGGTCATTAAAAATTAAAAAAGGGCAAACTTAAAAATGGACTCTCAAAGGGGCATTTTTGAAAAGGGGTATTGAAAAAGGGGCATTTTTAACAATTTCTCATATTTTAATCGATGTAGAACGTTGAACACACATTTTCGTCAATTGGATAATATATGTCCGTTTTTAAAATTTCGAATCACAATATATGCAGAAAAAAAATTGATTTTTGTTTTTACTTTATGTATTATATGATGATTTAAAACAGTTAAAAACAAATCAAACAAAGATGATAGGAGAATCATAATTCTAAATCTTAATTAAATCTTATAAATATCTAAATTATTAAATATGGAATATCCGGTGTATGAGTTGAGTTAAATATAACTCGATCCAACAAACTTTTTATGACCAAAATTTGTAAACGGGTCGAGTATCCAAAGTATCCGAGAACAATTTTACCCACCCGACTCAAAAGTGACTGCAAAAATACTAGTATTGATTACAACATATATACACGAAGATTAAACATGAATTTACAAAACTACTGAACATGATATATTCACATTAATTTGGCAGACCAATAATACTGATTACTGAACCTGAAGGCCTTAAAGTTTGCCTAAATATTAAAACCAAAACAGAGGTTCGTCAAAATATCGTTTACTTTCTAAAATTTTGTGGCTTTGAGAGTAGAAATCACATGACCTCTAGTTAGCCGCAGTCTTCGAATCCGTCTTAACCGATCGAGCTTTCTGGAGAAGCTGATGGTGAAACTGAAGGAGAAGCTGAAGGAGAAGCTGATGGTGAAGCTGATGGTGAAGCTGAAGGAGAAGCTGAAGGAGATGTTGAAGGAGACACTACCGATGAAGGTGTAGTTGGTGGAGAACCAAGATGACCAGCTGGTGGTGAAGTTGAAGGAGACACTACCGTTGAAGGTGTATCTGGTGGGGAACCAAGATGGCCAGCTGGTGGAGATGTTGAAGGAGACACTACCGTTGAAGGTGTATCTGGTGGGGAACCAAGATGGCCAGCTGGTGGAGAAGTTGAAGGAGACACTACCGTCGAAGGTGAATCTGATGACCCTGTTGTGTTAGAAGACGAACCGGAGCCAGTTATGGTAGAATTTGTGGAGCCCAATACGGTCGGATTGGTTGTTGAGCCATTTCCAGTGAAAAGACCTGGGATATACGGAACACCTTTACCAGGAATCCAAGCGTCACCTTGGATGTATTGAGCTGGAGTGAATGTAAGTATTTCTTCTTCACTCAACTTCTTGATTCCAGGCCAAGTAACCCGTTTTGTGATAGTTGCACCTGGCCCAGTGTTCTGTACCTCCGAGTAGAAAAGTGTCTTAAGACCGAAATCGCCAAGCCACGGTTGCCATCCTTCCGGCGGAATAAAATCTGGGATGAACGTGTTCATGATGATAGTTCTTGAATACTCTTTCCATGGCCTTCCAAGATAAGCTTTGCTATTTTCCTTGACTGCCAAGTAATCCGGTTCACCAACAATCGTACATCCTTGGAGAACAAATCCCGTGGATTCTCGTGGATCTTTACGTCCATGGGCTGTAATGGGGCATGCTTGGTTCAGAAGTGGCTTTCTCACCGATAAAGTACAATTCTGGAATACCGCGGCTGCGTCTCCAAAGAGAAAATCGATGGTGCCCGAGATAGTACAGTCGCGGTAAAACTGACGGTGGGAATGTGCATATAGAGTATCTTGGTAACCATCAAATTTACAATTGTAGAATATTGACTCATCTGATAGAACCCTAATCGCAACTGCTTGATGCTTTATTGCCCCGGCTGTGTTCTCGAACCCAATGTTCTTGGCAATGAAATGATCTCCAACGATTGCTGCAATAACCATATAAGACTCATCAAATCAGTGCCGGGTCATTAAAACATTGTACCTTATGCAATATCTATACAAAAAAAAAAAAAATCTCCAATTTTGTAAAACTCGTTCTAAAGTAAGATAAAGTTTTGTTAAGATATAATTGACCTATGCATTTCTTGGGCCTAATTCAAATACAAACTTGTACTTAAAAACCACAGCATGTAAGAGAAATCATTACCAACAGTCGCGGTTTTGTAGGTGGTTATACCATCCTTGTAACTTTTGCTGCCGGAAATGACAGTTTTCTCAGGGCCATCGCCGATAAAAACCAGATGTGTCATGCTCCTATTCACCTGAACGTACTCTTTATATATCCCGGTCTTAATGTGAACAACGAAAGTCGTGTTCTTCTTCTTCGGGACATAATTCAATGCCTCGCTGATCGTCTTGTACTGACCACTTCCGTCCTGCGCCACCACGATATCCGGTTTGACCTCGGACATAGGAGCGTTTAAAAGCCTACGCGCTCGCCCATCCATCCACGAAGGAAACTCTTGAGACAACAACCGTCGACTATTCATCTCCGGAATCTGCATTTGTCCCAAGTAATTCGACATCTCGCTGACCATTGCAAGCCCGTTATGCGTTAACTGCACCGCAGTTTTCAATGCCTTCTTAATCGTCTCACCTGCATTCCCTTGTGTCCCTTGAAACCCATCAAGACAAGTTTGCTCATGGCTTATCGTCGCACTAAGCCAAAGCCTCAGCTTAATCAACGCTTCATCAACCTTATGAAACTCGAACCTCCCCAACTCCTCAAACGACTTACTAAGCTCACCGATTGCGTAATCCATTAGCTCCTTGCATTGATCCAACGCCATCTTCGTCCTTGGATCCTTTTGTAGCTCAATCATTGTCTGTGACTTCTTTGCCACGTCACTTATCTGTTTCATCGTCGCGTTAAAAGCTGTCTTCACTAGCTCCAACGGGTCTGATGTGTCCTTCGCATCTTTCCTTAGAGTATCCTCACAAGTCTCCTTGTAATCCGTCGGTGCACAAACATCTTTGATGGCTTTAACAGAAGTTGTGATTTCTCCTTCACCTCCGTTATCGGACTTGTTGACGCTAACGCCTATGGTAACAGCAACAACCATGGAGATCAAAAGAACAGAGGAGATAGAGATAATAACGTATCTCTTTTTCCTCTTTGCATCATCGTCGTAACCATATGACATTTTTTTTGTTTTTTTTTTAAATTATATATGAACAGCTCGTTTTTGTTGATTTTTTTTTTGTTTTGTTTTGTATTTTTTTTTTTTTGAAGAGCTGTTTCTTATTTCGAAGCTTACGTAGCCTCTTTAGGAGTGTGAATTCTGCATAATTTTGAAAATATTTACAAGGATAGTTTTGTTTATGATAGATAAAGAGTTTCGTAGTTTTGGTTGCTTTGATTTATGAGGTTTGGCGGGAAAGTCGTTTGGCTTAAGAATGTGAGAGACAGACCAAAATAGGTTTGTGGTTTCCTTAAAAATTACTAAACTTGGAATATTAATTAAATAATAATCTTAATTTAAGTTATAATCGAATATAAATATATAGTGGGAAATAAAATATAATTTTGCTCACATAATTTGGTGGACATAAAAGAAAATTATTCAAAACTAATAATTTTTCTTGCAAAACTAACCAAGAAAAAAAAAACTAATTATTAGGTAACTAAACTAACCAAAAAAAAAATAATATATTGTGAATCTATGATATTTGTTTATTATATATAGTTTAGACTTCAGACCATATTGCATTTTTCTCTTCAACTTTTTACTGTTTCTACCACCATACACTACTAGACATATCAATTAGAACCAAAGTCCGCTGATCGGTCTAGCCCAGCCCTGAAAAATACCAAACTCGGATTTAAATATATATGTTCAAAAAAAAGATGTAAATTACTACTATCAGAGCCGGCCTTGACCACATGCACATGCTTGTGGCACTCAATATAATATCTATTAGAGCGGCTAATTATTGAGAAAAACTTCGGTAGCCGAGTTGCCTCGTGTTGGAGTGAGTTAACGTGAGGTTGCCGGTTCAATCGTCCCCTCTTTTGTTTTCCCATTTTTTTTTCCCTAAAATTATGTTATTAGTTGGCCTATAATATTTTTTTGGCTTCTGACTACCATCACCATCACCACCACTCACCTCCATCACCAGTTCACTACCACCATCAATACCATCACTACCACCACCGCCGCCACCTCCACAGCCACCACGATGTTGTCACCACCAACCACAACACCACCACCACAACTTCCTTTTAGCATCAGAGCTAGAAGGTGAGGCTCGTGTTTCCAGTGTACTGCACGTTGTAGATTTCGTTTTCGATTTGAATTTCTTCATTTTATATCCATGTAATTTTCTTGGCCCAAGAGCCAAAGCCCACTATGATTATAAAATATTTTTTTTTTTGAAAAATATAAATATATATATATGTGCATATATATACCACTATGGTTATGTGCAACTTATATCCAGAGAAAGTATTTTAGAAGTCTGAAATCTTTCACATGTTAACAAGAAAACAAACAAGAAGTTTAAATATATTTCAAGGTAATAAATAATTATAAATTTAGATATACATATGCAGTCATTTCCAATATATATATATATATATATATATATATATATATATATATATAGACTCATTACTAGCGGAAAAAAAAATATAGAGTCACTACCTGTTCTAATTATGTGAAAAAAAAATTCATAGTTTCAGACTTTCAGTGTTCCACAAAAGTAACTGAATTTTTATTATGTGGTAGAAAATATATGGTTGCTAGATATATATAATGATAAAATATAAGTTTTTCTATCAAATATCTTATAACTGTTATTAGTATAAAATAGATTAATAAAATAACTATACAATAATAAAATAGCACATAAAGTCATAAAGAGTACCGCAATCTTTAGAGATAACATAAGAGCACCTCCATCAAGAAGTTTTTAATACGATTATCTAGCAAAACTAATGTAGTATGTTAATGACTAATGAGTGAGTATCTCAAATAATTGAGAAATCCACTCAAAAGTATCCCATTTGAGAAACTCTTTAAATGAGTTTTTCAACTATTTGAGATATTCACACATTAAATTATAAATATTTTTGCTTTTCTAATTTTGATATACAGTACCTAAGTTGACAACTCCTTGATGGAGATGCTCAAATATTCATAAGATTTCTCAAATATTTTTAGAAAATCTCTTCCTAATAGACTAATAGATACAAATTTATTCATTGAAAAAATTATTCCCCTTAGTTTTTTTTTTCATATTCGTATTTAAGCTTAAATAGAAAATCATCTCAAAGTTAATTATTTACAGACTGACAATTTGAAAATTTATAAAATGTTGAATGTATCTTGGATATTTTGTGGGAATACGTCAGTATTCATGAATGTATCTTTGATATATCCTATACTAATATTTGGGAAGTACATCCTAAGGATCATAACTTAAATTTTGTAAGAAATTACAATATATGCCATTATATAATTCTAATCATAAAATTTATTCCATGTCACTAATATATATTAACGGGTCAACGGGTCAACAGGTTTAAAGATATTAAAAGATTTTGTTTATATAATACATAATTAATATAATTCGAGAATATTATATACCAATCAATATTCGAGATTATATAATACATAAAAATGTTATATAATACATAAAAGATTTTGTTTATATAATATATAAAAATGTTATATACTAATATACTAATATATTATTCGAAAATGTTATTGAAAATTAAAAATGTTATTCAATTTGTTATATAGTAATCCATTATTCGAACATCTTATAAAAAATGTCATTGAAAATGTTAATGAAAATGATATATCATTGAAAACATTTTATATCAATCCAATTTATAAAAAATAAAAAATGCTATTTTGAATTATAATACCCATATAGTTCGAAAATGTTATATAAATTGAAAATGTTATATAATTCTTCATTTTTTAAAAATGTTACTAAAAATTGAAAATGTGTCTACGTTCTTATAACTAAACAAAATTTATTTTCAACTACAATTCGTAATCTTTGACAATATTTTCAGTTTCCTAAACATCTGTTATCATCTTTGACAATATTTTCAGTTTCCTAAACATCTGTTATCATCAATTTCATTGTTTTTGATTAAGCTAAACAATACAATATTTTCAGTTTCCTAAATCTTTGTTTCTGACTTCAGTTGATTATATTGTCTAGGTAGTATATTCATTTTTTAATTACGCGGGTCATTGGGTCATCAAACGGGTTTAATTATACTATCTAAACAATATAATCACATAATTTTGTAATTAATTAATTAGGGAGATTTCGTAAATAATAAAATCAATTCAAACTAATAAGGCAAATCCTATACTATTATTTGGGAAGTACATCCTATAAGTCGTAACGTAAATTTTGTAAGAAATTATAATATATGCCATTAGATATCTCTAATCATAATCATTTTAATTCCATGTCACTAACATTAACAAATTAATTAAAAAACGGGTCAAATAACGAAAAACGGGTTTAAAGATCTTAAAGATATTAGGTTGTTATATTTTGTTTAGATATAAATTCGTATTCAAGCAATTCGTAATCTTTGAGAATATATTCAGTTTTCCTAAAATCTTTGAGAATATATTCAGTTTCCTTAAAACCCTTTATAAAAAAAATAAGTTATAATAGTTGTTATATTCTAGATCGTCTTTTGTTTAGTTTTACGTTTTTTGTTTAGTTTAATCACGCATCAATATAATCAGCTATTCAGTTTCCTTAAAATCTTTTCTAAAGATTGTCAAATCTCTCTGTTATATAATTTTGATCCTATATTCCAAATAATCTAGAATATACCTTTCTAAAATATTATCTAACTATTTTATGTTAATTAATATATTTCTGAATCTCCTAATTATCACAAACAATCTACAACTATAAATATCCATTTAGGCTTGACGTACCTTTCTCACAGAAATCATCTCAGCACCATTCTCATATCCTACAATTAAAAATACAGCAGAAATGGCTATGGTTAGTCCCTACACTCCTATTAACAATTTGAAGCATGTCAAGACTTTTTGCTGTATTCAAGTTAGTATATTTCATTCGTGGATTCATTTTACAAAAGGTTCTGGCATATCTTTGGAAATGATTTTGAAAGATGAGCCTGTAAGTACCATTGAAATTTTATACAATTCTCTTTGTAATATATGTGCCGTAAGTTTTAAGTCATCTTATTTTAATCACATGGTAACAAAATTCAAGCAGACATCAAATAGGAACAGATCAGCAAATTCCAAAGGTATGTTAAACCGTTTTTTTTCCACAAGAAACTAGGCCCCACAAATCCAATATAATCCATTAAAAAACTTAGACCCAATACAACTATTTTTTTGTTTGTTCACAATCACACAATAAAATTATCAATTCCTAATTGAACCAAAGAAATTATTAATCTCATATAAAAAAATACAAATCTAATGCTGCTAAATATATTAAATTCTAAAATACAATATTCTCTCCTTCTTTAGTCAAATAAAATATATAACATTATATCCAAATAGTAATAAATATAAAATATTATGATATATTCCCTTTTATATTATACTATTATACTAAATTATTCCTTATTTCTTCGAACAAAATATACAATTTAATTCATGAAAAATATTAAATCCCGTGCTGTATAGCACGGGTCATGATCTAGTTTTACCAAATACTTCAGTAGTCTCATTTAAGAAAAAAGTGACACTTAAGGACTTAAGGTATTCAAGCTTTCTTTTTATGAATATATATATCTGCAAATATATATATTCCTATATATATATATATATAAGGAATAAAATTGTTATTCTTTACAGTTCATAGACCATGTTTGTCATTTTATTCCTTTTTGGGTATTTTTCTCCCAATCAGAACAGAGAAAGTAAACAATTTGATTACTGCCGGAAAACTAATTAAAGAAATCTCACAATTTTTATTACTAGTTTTTAGTAATGAGAAAGAACAACTGTAGTCAATCACAAGCTGTCTAAGTTTAATGTTTATGAAACACCTTCCAAGGTAATTTTTCCATATAGTAGAATCAGAGCCGTCTATGACTACAAGCGAGCCAAGCACCCGCTTGCGGCCG